TGGGGGCGATGTTGGATTTAGTGGCTATGTCATCTACAGAAATGAGCTCCAAATTGGTAGATGGGTTTCCTATTAAACCCATTTGAAACCATTTAAACTTAAACCTTCCATTTTTTCTGGATTTCCCAAGTTTCATCAGATTCAGAGCCAGTTTGAATAGATTTTTGAGCCCCTCTTTTTTCACCCATCCACCCTTCCAAGGCACTCCGGGATCTCTCGCAGGACGGAGAGATCAAGGGAGTCACCTCCGGTTTCGAAGGGAGTCACCTCCGGTTCTCCGAAAACTCCATGGTTCATCATGTTCAATGGCTACTGGTCATCTTCAGGTGTTTTTCCCCCAATTTCTAAGGGTATTCGGAGTCAAAACAACAAAAAAATGGTTGTGTTTGCTATTATATGGCTGAAGAAATAACCAAGTGTAAAGCAGACCGTATCTGTATTTCACCACTGCTATATGCTAACCAGGGTCAAGGACACCCTGTTCTGATCCGCACCTCAACTGCTGCACCATATACAGCCAGCTCTTCCGAGTGCCCAGCCTGTTGAGGCATCCTTGTCAGTCTCAGCCTTGCAGTTGATCGCCGAATACTGTTGGCCCAAATCGCTCAAGGATTGGTTTCTTGGAAATCCTGCATGGAGTTTTCCAGCCATATATATATACATACACAACATATACACATACATATACAATTATACATATATAATATATTATAATATTATATATATAATATTATATATATATATATACATACATACATATCATATCATATATCCATGTCTTGGAGGGCGAATCAAGTAACCTGCCAAAAGAATCCAAAAGATAGGAATCCACGACATGAAGACCCCCTAACACTGCCAATATGGAACTGCAGACCGCAGCGGCCTTCGAAGCAGCACCACGGCGGCTGAGGGTTCGATTCGAATTGCCTTCCGCGGTGAAGAGGTCGATCAAGCGAACCTGAAAACTCCACTGCTGCGGCGGTCACTTCACCCCGGTGCTGATTCTGACAGCATTTCATCGCTGGTTTTTGGGCAGGATCTCCCCGTTGATCCATACCCAAACGGATGTGCATCCCCGATTTTTGAAGCTTGCTCAGATAGAATCAGATAGATAGATTAGAGGAGGATTAGGATTTGGATTAGGGTTAGATTAGGATTAGATTCGATTAGATTCGATATTGGATTGGATTTTATTGGATTGGACTAGATTGGATTTGTAGATAGACAGACAGACAGACAGACAGACAGATAGATAGATAGATAGGTTAGATTAGATTAGATTAGACTAGATTAAGTTCAAGTTTAAGAGCAAGATTTAAGAGCTAGATTTAGATTAGATTTAGATTAGATTTAGATTAGATTTAGATTAGAGTACGCATATTTATCGTAGATTTAGAGTAGATTTAGATTAGATTTAGATTAGATTTAGATCTAGAGATTGGGCTGGATTAGATTAAATTCTTTTTGTAGATTCAAATTTAAAACTTTGGATTTGGCCCACGGCCCACCTGTTCAGGAGCCAGGACTTTGGCGTGGATGCTGGTGGCCTGAAAACCCAGTTCGCTTTGCCGGGTTTTGCCCAAAAACCTGGGCTTAAAAAATAAAACATAGTCACCATTGGGTCACCATAGTCACCATAGT